GGGCGGGGAGGGAGGGAAGGAGGGAAGGAGGGAGGGAGGGCGCTGGGTGTGCTTCCAGGGGAGGCTGCGCTCCCCGCCGCCCACTGCCGCTGCTTCCCCCCCCCTTCCCCGCGCAATAATTTTTAGCTGAAACAATAGCGAATATCAGCATTTATTTGCAGAGGGGCCGCTGGCGGGGCGGGGCGGGCCGGCACAACACAACGGGGGCTTTGTTGGGTGGCACAGGGCTCCCTCTGTGCGCGGAGCGGCGGCGAGCGCCGTGCGGGAGAAAACCCGAGCCGAGGGCCGGGCGAAACGCGAGCGAGGTTTAAAGTTAGTGCCGACGCACCACGGGGAGTAGGTGATTTGTGGGAGAAACGGCTCTGCGTGTAGGTGGCACGGCGAAAAGTCCCGGATAGGTTTTGAGCTCACTGAACGTGGGTTTGGGTGGTGTCGGTAGGAGAAATTATTAACTCGGGGTGCAGGGACCGTCTGGAGGAGGGAAGAGGCCCCGCGCCGTGCCGGGCGCCAGGCTGGTTTCCGTGGTGAGAAACCCACCTCCGAGCCTTCGGGAGCTGTGGGGTTTCCTCCGGAACATGCTGAACGTCTCGTTCCCTTGCTCTCAGGCACACGCCATGGATACGACCGGCCACAGCGTCCTCCTCCTCCAGCAGCTGAACATGCAGCGGGAGTTTGGTTTTCTGTGTGACTGCACAGTTGCCATTGGAGATGTTTACTTCAAAGCCCACAGAGCGGTGCTCGCTGCTTTTTCAAACTATTTTAAGATGATATTTATTCATCAGACGAGGTAAGGACACACAGCTCTCCTACCTTTTAATTGCTCTGCTCAACTTTCTGCTTCTTCCCCTTTCTAAAGGTATTAAAGCCTAAAAGAGCTTAAGTGGGGATGTCAGATGGCCTGGGATTATTCTCCTAACCCAGCACACACCTTGGCTCTCTAGACATTCCCAGTCTAGAATGTGCTGTCCTTTAAAACCACCCTCTTAGCCTACGCCAACATCAGACCCCGCATTTTGGAGATGAGACATTCAGAGAAAATAAATCTCTAAGTACCACAGTCCTTCAGCAGTGAGACCCTCCCAGATTTGCAGTCTAGGGACACCCAGGTACCTCCTGCCCACACGCAGCGTGTCCATTGCTGCGCACTAGCTTGTAGGCAAGCGTGCTGGGTGGGACTGTCCCTCCTGGCAGGATCCATGGGCTTGAAGCAATCGAGAAGCCATAGCCTTATCACAGTTCTGCGCTTCAGACTCTTGCAGATAAGGGCTGAGACTGAGATAATGGGTTCATTTCAAGCTGCTGTTTAGATGCTTCACCCCAGCTGGGTCAGAAGCAGTTCTGCAGGTATAACGATGGTGGTGCCAAGGTCTAATCTTGCCTCTGACCTGGAGCTTGCTGCTTGTAATCGATGAAACCCTTCTCCATTCCCTTTCCTCTTTGAGGGTCGTGGCCCCCAGAGCCTTTGCAAGATAATCGCTGGCCGTTGGCCACGTAGCCCTTTGGCTGGAAGTGAGAAGATCAGTTAACTTCCTTTCCAATAGGTGTTGTTGACTGACACTTAAGTGCAAAGCTCATGAAGGTTACACAGTAGCGGCAGCTCAATTTATATTGCTTAAACATACAAATATTCTTTGCCTCACGTTGTTGGAGTGGCACACACCAGTGATGTGTGGCTGCGTGGCATCACTGCGGTGCCGTGCGTGCGAGTGACGGGGTGAACAGGAGCTGCCACTCTCGCCATCCCTGGCTGTGGCTGTGAGCACAGTCTTTATAATCACAGGGATAAATACACGCTCGGGCACTTTGATGTGCAAACTTCTGCAGATCTTGGTGGAGAGCGCTGCTCGTGAGCTGGGAAGCAGGCAGCAGCGCACACGCTCCAACAGCAAACAGCAGCGCAAATGAATGGGCAGGTAATGGATCAGGGCTGTAATTTGGGAGCCCTGTATGTACTTATCATCTGTCTTGTTGCAGCGAATGCATAAAGATTCAGCCTACAGACATCCAGCCTGACATATTTAGTTACTTGTTGCATATCATGTACACGGGGAAGGGACCAAAGCAAACCGTCAGCCAGAGCCGACTGGAGGAGGGCATCCGCTTTCTCCATGCAGACCACCTCTCCCATATCGCGATCGAGATGAACCAAGCGTTCTCCCCAGAGCCAGTCCAGTCGTCAAACTTGTACGGGATCCAGATCTCGACTGCGCACAAACCCGTGAAGGAACGCCTGGGAGTGAAGGAGAGTCTGCCCAAAGTGGGCAGCAGGTCGTCTGCCCAGGGTGACCACCCGCAGCTGCAGCTCTCTCTGGCCATTGGCCTGGACGACAGCTCCCTGGACCAGCAGGTCGCTCGCCCCTCTGCTCAGCCCCCTGCTCTCACCAAGCCGGCAGAAGAGCGTCCGAAGCTCTCGGTCTCCATAAAGCAGGAGAGGTGCGACTCGGAGCCCCTGGTGTCCCAGAGCTGCACCCCTCCCTCTCCAGAGGTAGCCAGCTCCATCTTTGCTAAGGCCAGCCTCAAGGTACACTTGTGTCACTACTGCGGGGAGCGGTTCGACTCCCGGGGGGGCCTGCGACAGCACTTGCACACCCACGTCTCGGGCTCGCTGCCGTTCGGCGTGCCAGCCTCCATCCTGGAGAGCAGCGACCTGGGGGAGGTGCAGCCTCTGGCTGCGGACAGGGAGGCTGGGGATGGCCACCGGCTCGGAGCCTTCCTCCTCAAGGAGGATGAGCATCCGCTGGAGCATCCGGGCTGCAGCGACCTGGAGCCTCTACAGATCAGCCAGCTCTCCCTCATCTCCAAGGACCGCGAACCGGTGGAGTTGAACTGTAACTTTTCTTTCTCAAGAAAAAGAAAAATCAGTTGCACCATCTGCGGCCGCACGTTTTTCCGGAAGAGCCAGCTGCTCGAACACATGTACACACACAGGGGGAAACAGCACAAATATGGCCGCAGCCAGCAACTGGAGAGCCCCGTGACCCCCAGGTTTCATCCTTACTGTGACAGGGAGGGCATGGGGAAGAGCTCCAGCTTATCCCAAGACCACTTAGATGAATGTATACTGGAGTCGGATCTCATCCAAGAAAGTGTTGATACGATCCTGGTAGAGTAGTTCTCCCCCTGTGTAGCCTTTAGATGCTGAAACTCTGGATATTTTGGCATTTTCCACTTAGTAAGTGGCTGCTCTCTGCAGCTGATTTTCTTCAAGCACCATTCCCGTCACCTCTGAGATAACTGTGAAGAACTGCGTACTTCAATTTGTGTACTTGCTTTTTTACTTCCCTTAACTTTTAAACTAATTCCCATCTAAGTCCTTTTTGGAAGCCTCCATGTAACTCAGTTACATTTTTCGTAAATGCAAACTTACTCCTGCTCTGCTTTACTAGCGTTAAGACTGCATTGCTGGGTGTGAAGTTTAAGCATCGTCTAGTATGCTGTGCAGTGCCTAGGACTGTTTGTATCCTGTAGAATCACTCTTCTGACCCTAGATGGAGGGAAATGTAGAGGGAAATATGTACTGTGTTTCCCAAACAGTTTGTTTTTAATTAAAATAAATATCTCAAGGAGATGAATCCTGAAGTTCGTGTTGTATAACTGCAGTTAATAAATCTCTGCATAAATACATGTGGGAGCCACCAGGCTGGTCTTTTCATGGGAGCTGGCGGCGTTGATGTAGGGGCGGTAACCTTCACTTTGACAAGCCCTGGAGTCCTTGTCAGTACAATCTTTTAAATTTACTTTTAGACTCAAGGGGTTTGGATGTGTTCTTCCTCGTTCTTAGTCCTCCCTTGCAAACCGCTACTTCATGAGCCGAGACAAGTTTTGATGCCCCTCTAGGACCACGTCCCTATTATTGGACCATTTTCTCTGCAAGGAGGAATAACCTAAGTCTTTACAGGATTAAATACAACACACGGATTTTCTCAGAGAAAGTTATTTCTGATTCTACAAACAGCTTAGAGCAAACATATTCTTAAATATTACAATCTATATATTTGCTAAGAGCAAACATATAATGTGTTATTTCTTCTCTGCTTGTGGAGCCACCATAAAATGGTAAAATGCGACCTTTTTGCCTTTCATTTATCATTACTTGATACCTGAAGAGTAGTAACTTATCCAAGAGGGGTTTAAGATTCTATGTGTTCCTCTTGGATTTGTATTTTGTCCCTCTAGTTTTTCACCTTAGATATGCCAGGCTTCCTACCATATGGTCTCCAACCCACCCCTCAAGAGATGCTTGTAATGAGAAGTCCCCAAAGAGGTGCACAGAGTTTTTACAGCTCAGAGGTTTCTTTTGCAGTGAAGAGCGAAAGCCTTGCGAGCTGCTCCCGTAATCTCATTACCCAGTTTTTGAGAAGCTGGGGGCTCCCTGCCAGTCCTGGTGGAGTTGAGTCATTGTTTTCGGAAAGGGGGAGCCTGAACAATGGTGAGAACAGTTTATTGTCAAAATGCCTGTTCCAAAGCTCTTTGTAGTCAGGACCCTTGAGCTCTCTTTGAAACTGTCCTGGAGCAAGAGCTGCAATTAAATCGCTGCCGAATTAAAAGACCATCTGAGGTCTTTGTAAGGGCGGCTGCTGCTTCTCCTGGTCAGGGAGCTGCACACTCCAGGGGATGGATTGGCCACTGAGGGCTGCCAAACTGTGTTTTAAGACAAAGGGGAAAAACAAACAGCCTCTGAGCCTGCCCAGATGATGTTACAAAATGCACACTGCGGTTTGGTGTGTGCATGTCTGCTAGACTGAGTGCTCCTCTCGCTGCGTGTACCCATTAAAGCTTCTCTGGCGTGAATGCATTTTAACTCTGCTTAAAAAGCCTTTCTTTAAAACAAGCAAATAAACAAAACCCTGCCAACATCCAGGCCTGCAAATGCTGCATCTGAGCACGGAGCGATTCATATGGAGCATTTCTTAGAAGAGAGCCTTCTGCGTCTCTCCCGGCCTAATAGCATCAGCTAAATCACATCCAGCACAGACTGCTTATAACTGGGGCAAACGCCCTCTGGCTTCCACTGACCTCTATGTCTACATGATGGTTAAAAAAAAAAAAAATGGTATTTTGTAGTCATTCCCTATTTGTGTGTGACACTTTACCAAGTGGGCTGGCTTCTCTGGGTGCTGCTTGCTTCACCCAGGATCCTACATTTGATTTAAGAACAGAGGGGAGTGTCTGCTGAGTTGGGTGTAGCTGTAGAGAAGAACTAAAAGCGGGTTTTCAGACTATTTAGTCAGTAGGCGAGCAGCTTGGAACTTCTGCTAGATGTCTGAACTAATTAATATTAAAAGTCAAACGGCCCTTGATGTCTCTGCAAAGACAACTGGGCGGTGGTAACAGAGCTCAGTATTGGGGACGGCAGGGGGGACAGCAAGCAACAGTGCCAAAGGTGTCTCTGGGACATGCTGCTCATCCTTAGGTTTGTTTTGTTCACTTCTTGACCATTAAAAGAGAGCTTTAATAAAAACTATGAACTCAGGGAAAAGATCTAAATGTCCATCAGCTGTATGTGTGTATATGTTGTAGGAGTGACTCCGTTGAACTGACTACAAATACATCAGTGAAACTGAAATCATGCTGAAATCAGCACTGTGTTCATGTACGAGTTCAGTATGTCTTTGGAAAGTTACAACTCTAAGCAATTTTTTTTTTTATCGTCACACCCCTTTTTAGGGTACTGAGCATCTGTGACATCAAACATCCGCAAAAGGCATTCTTTGCATCATTTGCAATACAAGAAATGCATTTTCAGCAGTTTTCTGCTGCAAACCTTAAAGGGCTGTTATAATCAAAGCAGTAGAAAAAGCTCAAGAGACAGAAGTCGTCAGCTCTGAGTTACGTTAACTTGAAAACATCATTCTCCCTAAGTCTTATGAATAGAAAATAATTTTATAAGGCCATTACGTTTGCTAAGCCAGGGCAGCAGCTGCTCCTGAATACCTCATAAGAAGTTTTCTTACTGCACGTAGAAGGCACTTGCATTACTGAGTGCTTAACCTTTATGCCGGTGCATGCTTGAAAATCTGCCTGCCTTGCACAGCTGGGCTTGGCAAATGTTCAGTTCTTGTGTTGTTTTTTTTTTTTCATGAAAACATAACAGGATTTGTCACAGTGTGCAGAATAATGATACTGGTGATTCCTTCCAGATATCAACGATTGGTTGATAGATGCACGTGGGCTTAGACAAAGACAGCCCCGGGGTGGTGATACTTGAAGGCTGGAAGTCTAAAAGCTCCAGGGGGATCCCCAGAGCTTTGCCCTGTGCTGCGAAGGGATCTCAGCGTCAGGGGTGCAGAGCCGACAAACCGCAGGCATTGAGGTGCCTTGTCTGAGGGCTCTGCAGCTCATGTTTTATGAAAAAATGCGAAGATTGGGGCTCAGACCCTTGCCAAAGTAACGTGAGCAGACTCCTCATCCAGCTCAAGTTAACCTCTGAAATGCCAGTAAGTGCTGCAGTGACTACCATTACTTTCACGTGTATCTGGGTGCTGGCCTGAATATGCTGCCTGTAGGCTGTCTGGCTCAACGACCAAAGCATGCTAAACAATTCAGAGATAGATATTTTGAAAAAGATTTTAGTGCTCTGATGCTGAACAGGCCAAGTCCAGCAGGGGCCATGTTTCTTGGGCTGCTTAGGGTGAGTAAAGGCTGTGGAATAAAGGATATTTATCCCTCCCTTGCAGCATGGGCTCTAGTTATTTTACTGAGAAACTTGCTTTTCACCACCTGCAGTGCTGGCTGGGGTAGCACTTGTGCAATGAAAGCGTTAGGCTGAACTTCTCCTGCATTACTGGTGCCAGAGGAGCAAGACATCAATGCCTGTTACTTGCACCAGCCGTCCTTAAAAGGTAAGCATCCCCTCACAACATTCACCTGCAGATGTTTGAGTTTTAACTTCTCCACCTTGAATTTTTGGGTGGCTGGGGGAGAGCGATGCCAGCACTTGCCTCATGGCTGCCCAGGAGGTGACGCTGATGTCTGGGCCATGCTTGCCCCATCTCCATGCAGGATAAAAAAAACCTTTCAGCTCATTTTACCTTCTGGTTACATGTGTCTCCAGCCATCTGGCTACACACCAGCCATTCGGGCAGGCTCTTTGCTCGCATGTCATCTGTCAAATCACTGCAAAATCAGGTGGCAGCAGCATGCAGGGGGTGCAGCAGGGCTGACAGACTGCCCGTGGGTGCAGCACCCCTCACCAGAGGGATTTGGGACATTTGTGCATGCTGAGAGGGTTAAAAGGGGAAAGAAATTTGCTGTCAGGAGGTAAACCTGGAGCAGTGAGCACTGCAGTTAAAACCATGAAATGCAACTATCACGAGCTTTCCAGAAAGAGTGTAATGCTGATACTGAGTAGTTTTCTACTGTTTTGGAGGCAGAAGATACAAATCCCATGTCAGCGCAGCCTTCAGAAGTGCAGTGAAAAGTGATCTCCGCAGATGCAATTCAGCTTCATTGAATGAGACCACGAGCTATCAGTGGCCAAGGTGAGAGGTTTCTTCTTGGCTTGTCAAAGCCCTTCCATGCCAACAGCAGGTCGTGCCATACCACTGCAATCATCTTCAGCTTCACTGTTTAATAAACCCCAGCCTTTTCTTTCCCCCTCTTGCCATGGTATGCCAAAAAGGACCAAATGAGTGGGCTTCCCAGCAGTCCAGCACTAGGAAAACATATTCTGAGCAATAAGAAATCAAGAGAAAATAGGTAATGAGGATGAATCTGCCCTAAATTACATTCCAGTTAGATATTTACAACTGGAGCTGTGTCAGGACTGAATTCCCTGAGACGCAATCGCAGCATTTACTGAATTTGCATGTTTCATTAAGAAAAAGTAATGACACAACTTCAAAAGCAGCCTGAGAGAGGAAGTGTTTCCACTAACTATGCCAAACCAGACGCTGCGTCCTCAGAACAAAGGCGCAGCAAAGCTCAAAACCTGGTCTGCTGAATGAGGCTGGTTTTCACCTGAGCTGAGATGTCCCTGGGAAGCTCTGCAGGGCCTCAGGCAGTGTGGGCAGCCCACGTGTGGCTTTACCTGAGATGCATAGGGTGATGCTGCTAAAGGCTTCCAGCAGCAGTCGGGCAAATTTTAGTCCATGTTCACCCTCCTGTTACTGCGAGAAGCGGCATAAGAAAAAAAATGTGTAAAGCCCTCTCTCCCTCCAGGTGTTGGATTTGCAGCCCACTGGCTGTAGGATGTAAAGCCAGCTATAGGCAGCAGGACAGGGAACCCAGGGCCATGAGGCATCGGGGGTGATGATGCAGGGGAAGAAACCTCACGGTAGGCAGAAGCGCGGTGCCACCCATCGAGCCAGGCCTCCCTGGGGCCGGTGCCAGCGCTGGGCTAGCAGCCCCGCCAAGCTCAGGCCGAAAGCGCTGCCAGGGCGGGGGTGGATGCTGATGCTCAGCGTCCCCGCAGCCATCCCGGGAGGGACCCGCTCGGGCAGCGGTCGCCTCCGCCGCCCCGCGGCAAGGCCAGACCCGGCAGAGCAGGCGCCAAAGCCTGTCATTAGGAGCCGAGCATCCCCTACCAGCCTCTGTTTATCCCGGCGGTGTGGCTAAGAGCCGCTTACTCAGTGCTTTAATGAGCGGGGTGCAGGTGTGCATTCCTGTTGTGCCTGTTGCACACGCCTGCCGGCCCTGCGCGGCCGAGCCAGCCGGTCCCCCAGCCCGCTGCGCCGTGCCCGCAGGCTTGCAGCTGCTCCACCAGCTTCAGGGAGATCCGGGCCGAGAGGCTTTCCACGCTTCGGCCTTCCCTGCCTTGCTCCGGCTAGCAAACTAAATGCAAATTCAAGTTGCAGGCTGTCTGGGCTGCGACGAAGCACCGTGCGGCGTCCGCCCGCGCTGCAACAACGCCCGACGCCTCTGTGCAGCGGCAGTCTGGGGGAGCTTTTGGCAGGCAGAACGCAAGTGGCTGAGGCTGCTGGCAGGAGCGAGGGGATGCAGCGCTCCTCCTCCCCGGGGGGAATGCTCCGAAGCACCGTAGGAGGTCGGAGTACTTGCGCTTCCCACCCAGCTGCCATCTCACCAGTCTCACATCACACGGAGCTGTCACGGCGCTGAGCCTTGACGCATCGGCACCTCAGCCTCGTGTCTTCATTAAAATGGCAAACAGGGAGAGCAAGCGTGACACGAATGACTTGTTAAGAGTGCAGAGACAACATCCATCTCAAGATTACAATTTGTTCTCTGGGACAACAGCAAAGTGATGCTCAGTGTGTCCTTGCACCGGTAAGGACGTGGCGCAGGTGGCACCTGCAAGGACAGCGGTACCTGCAGAAGGGACCCTGCTGGGGCACCCACCGTGGCAGGGAGGTGTCTCCTCTTCCAGATTAAAGAGGTTTGGAAGGATGAGCTCTGCTAGGTCTAACTCAAGGACTGACGGTGTGACTGCCAGTCAGCTCTAGCTGCAGATGATGCTTTCATCTTAGCAATCTGAATTGCAAAACGTGTTTTCCTAACGTCTCTCTTCCTTTTGTATCCAGCATGTTTGTCAGTTTTTATGTAACAAACCTATTTTAAAATGCTGGGTTTGAGTATTTTAGTTGAAATCCACTTTCTAGCTAAATGGACTTTTACCCCGCTGCAGAAAAATCCCGTTACTTAGCACAGAAGCACTGTGCTCTTCATAATTCTCTGCAAAAAAAAAGAAAGAAATGTGGAAGTTGTGCCTCCTAAAAACCTGTTAACTTATATTGTTGCTTAAATATCTGTATAAGAAATAACATCCTCTATTTTTTAAAAAAATCACATTTAATGTAACGATTTCATCCGTCTGCAAATGAAAGTATCTCATTATTTTATTACCACTGAACAAGAGCTAACAACAACTACTTCTCTGTGAAATAAAGCTGCAGATGTAAAACAATATTAAAGCAAATTATTTAAATCATTCTGTTCTCCTGGAGCATTTAATTGTTTTGAGTTACTCGTGTTGAAACCCGGTGTCTGTAGGATAGACAATATTGGGGCTTCACTGCACCTAACATGTGGGTCCATCAGCAAGCAGGGTGTGGCATCCATCCATCCATCCATCCATCCATCCATCCATCCATCCATCCATCCATCTGCCAATTCCAAGCACAGGATTCCTGTATATTTAATGAGTTTACTTAATTTCTTATAGGCATTTGTGAAAAAACTTGTGGATTTTACTTTTAATACATAGGCACACATATGAAAATGTCCATCATTTATGCAGGGACAGCACCTTAAATTCAAACACTAGATTCCTGGCTGCTGTAGATTTGTTCCTTTGAAGTATATGGAGTTGCGGTGACCTTCAACAGCTGGAGATCTGGCCCCAAGCAGCCTGCACATTTCTAATACACTTCTGGTGTCCCACAGCAGAAAAGAAAATGCAATATTTGTTTGTGCCATCATTGTCTACCAGCAACTTCCAGAAGGAACTTTTTAGCACATACACTTGTTTTCTGCTGGGCTCAGTGCTGACATAACAGAAAAGCTTTTTATCCCCCTGGAAGCCTTCCTGGGCATGAGTTATATTATTTAAATGCTCTATTCTTTGCTGCTAATATGAAAAAGCTGTGTGAACTGACAATATTCAAAATGACAGGGCAAAGCAGAGATAGGGGACTTGTTGAATGTAAAGCCAAGCGGTCCCTGCTGAGAAAAGTGCTGGAAACATCTGGGAGAAAAGCACCAGCACAGGCCATGGCGTGAGCAGAAGAACCAAATAATTTGTTAAGAAGCTGCTGCAAAGCAACCACTTCCATAATTCAGAGGGGCAGCAAGCAATGAACTCCTGGATAAGGAGCCAGGTGGCCCAAAAGCAACCCGAACAGGGCTATAAGAAACCACGGTAATGTATTATTCCGGTTCATTTCAGGTGTTGGTGAGGAATGTAGTGCTAAAGACAGGTCACCCTTGAGTGCTCTGGCACATTCAGGCAGTCACGTCCTCACAGGTTTCCTGGCTGGTACTCCTTCACAATAACAAATTTATCATTCCTTCTCCAAAAGAATAAATATTGTATTAATGTTCAACTCTCTAATCATAATGAAGGCATAGAGGGTCTTAATTAAATCATCAGTGGCTGTTATGAGTCTATATTTTCTCCTGTAAACCTGAAAGAATAAATAGTATTAATACTATTAAAAATGTATAACTCTTTTTTTTTTTTTTTTCCCCTGTATTTCCTGTGCTTTAAAAAGTGCCTCAGGAAATTACATGAAAGATGTTATGCCAAAAAAAAAAAAAAAAAAAAAAAAAAAAAAAAAAAAAAAAAAAAAGGACGTGGGGCCCATTTGAGCATTTACAGAAAGTGCCAAAGCACAGAACTTGCTGCTCCTCTTCCCGAGGTGCCGGCCTCACCTCGGACCCTGTCAGCACCAAACCATGTGCCTGGAAATAGCAACCCAGAGCTTTGGGAGCAGAAAGCATGAACCAGCAGCTCGCAGAGAAAACCAAACCTCCTGCCTGGGATCGGCAAGAGCCCTGCCACTCCACGCACAGCGAGGTTTGACCCTGGTCCATCTGCAGAGCCTCAAATATTTTCCTCTGGCTGCCTCGGGCATCCGATATGGAATTTCACTGTCGGCAGCAGGATGGCTTTTCACACCCACTGGAGACTTGTGATCCTTCACAAATACCTTATAGCAGTCCCTGGGCAGTCAAGCACTCTGCGGTGGAAATGACTGGCCAGCAACTGAAAGGAAACCTTATAAAAAGAGCACAGGAAGAGCAAACCTCCAAAGAATTCAGGTCTGCTACCAACTTTAAGATTTCATTCTGCTCACCGTACAGCTCCCTGAAAAGGCCAGAGACAACAGAGCAGCACTGTGAGTTTATCCTTCCATGTATAAAATCTCTCCATAGCTGCCTACTCAATCACAAGGCCAGAAAACAACAGGTACATTCAACTTTAATGAAATAATTGCCAGTTATATGTACAGCTATAACAGAGGGAAGAACCAGCTACAGAAAGGATGCAAACACAACCCTGGACGTGGAGCAGGAGTCACAGGGGCTGGGCTGGACCAAACATTTCTGTCATTCTCCTCCTCTTTTGAAGATATGTTTCACCTAAAAGCCAAATACTGAAATAGATGAAAACTCCCCAGAACTGCTTATTCAGCTAACAGAAGATGACAGCCTGGCCCTGCAGGGTCATTCTGTGTTTCTTTACTAGAGCCTGGGCATCCTCCTCTGCAGCTGACACCAGTGGGGCCCTACAGAGAGGCTGCAGCCCTTTGCTCAGCTCCATCCTGCCACGGTGCCTGCTGTAATCCCATAAGCAACCTCCAGCATCAGCACTGGCCCTTCTCAGGGTGCTACAGCCGCTCCAAAGGTACATATAAAAGTCCTTAAAAAGTCCCTTTCAAAGCTATGGCAAAATACCTGGAAGGACCAGTATGAAGTACAAAGCCATTAAAATTGTACACATTGAATTATTAATATCTGATAACTTAATAAATAAATTCACAGAAAAAGAAGACACTTCTTTTTAACATTCTCTGATTTTTCTTAAGTTTTACTTGCACAGAAATAAGCCGTGGCGCTCACTGCTCACCGTCCTCTTGTAACAATGGAGATGCTTTATCAAAGTTTAAAATGTGGTTGCGCACCAGGTACTCGGAGAGTTTACAGCCCTTGTATCTCAACAGGAATCCAAATCCTACAGTGGGAAGGGAAATCTCAGTGTGCCGCCTATGGTCAGTGAGCAACTGCCAAGCGAGGCTGCTATTTCTGTATCGGCTGAGAAATACGCAGGAGAATTTTCTCAGAAGAACAGGCTGACTTGCCTGCAGCTGTACGTAAATCCCAGCCACGCAGATGCCATCCCAAATTATTAAAAGGCCCCTTTCTCTGGAGGGCTGGGAGTTAGAGGCGATGCTTTACACACACGCCACGCTGGCGCAGAGTCCCTCAGAGCAGGGCAGTTTGGGGGGTTTGATGGCGATCGGCCTGTCTCGGCATTTTACAGCCACGTCCCCCAGCCCTCATGTCTAAGATTTTTTTCCCTGAGGACTTTGGTAAGATCACTCCAGCATTTCCCTGCATGTTTCAGAGCAAGCTACGTGGCGTGCCGGAGCCAGCCAGAGCCTGGCAGGGAGCGAGCTGGGTGTAATGCACATCTCCCAGGGGATGCCCGGGCTCGCTGAGGGGGGAGCCGAGCGGGACAGGCTGCCGCCAGCGCCCAGGGACGCCAGCAGCTCTCACACCAAATCAAAGCAATTCCAGCACCCGCAGCACATCGCAGCTACCCAAACTATGTCAACACCGAGGCAATAGTTGACTGCTAACACGCATGCAGCTCACTGCTATTTATATCGCATGCCATATATAAAAAAAAAAAAGCTGCATCCGAGGACAGCGTCACCATGATATAGTGACTGGGATGGAGGAGGTGAAGGAAGGAGAGGGGCTGCCCACAGCAGGCACGCTCCCGCCCAGCCTGTGCCTTGACACCGCTGGGAATTTTGCCCGTTGAGCTTAATGGTGCGAGAACGGCCTCCCACCCCTGGCAAACGAAGCACTGTCATTTTGTTGGCATTTGCACAGCCCGGGGTCAGCGAGGAGAGCGGCTGATGCTGTGCTTTAACTTGTCTGGAAATGCACAGGCTGCTTGTGACAGCGGAAGAAGCCCCCAATGAGAAACATCACTCCAACCATCCGGCTTCACGTGACGCGACAGCAGGGGTGACCACGGTTTCTGGCATCTGTACGTAGCAAGTACCTGTTTGCAATACTAAACAACAGCCTGAGCCCATCTGGCATTCATGTCGTCGTGTTAACACTGCAGTCACTGCACCCTCCCTCGTTTCCACTGAACCCCAGGGCAAACCTCCAGCCGCATCCAACGTGCCCCGAATCCAGCCCAGCAGTGGGTCGGGCGCTCGCCGCTTCTGGGGACCTTTTGCTAAATGCACAATACATACAGATCTACGGCATGAACAGCAGGGAAACCCGGCATGGGTGACGGCAGAAACGTGACCTTGACATAAAGATGCCAATAAATGAAAACACAGTCGCTGCAACACCTTCATTTTTCCACAGCTGCGGTTGACGTCCCTCTCTGAAGCCCCAGCCCCAGGGGACACGTTGTACGTAGCAGGGTCTGCCCCACGTCCCAGGATCCGTTTCACAAAGACACACAACTGAACGATCATGCAGAATTAACTACACCTCGGCCCCGGGAGCCCTTCGAGCTCTCCACACGCCCCCCAGGCCAAATGGAGCTTTACATCACTCCCTGTACTCTTTATTTTGGGGGCATCACTGCTGTCACAGAAAACTGTTGTGTTTATTCTGTTCCAGGGCCATTTCGTTGACCAGCTGCTCTATGGACGACTGAATGGCCGCCTTCACGAGGGAAGACGCCGTTTCTATGAGGAGCAATTCGTACTGCTCCCCAGTTCTGTGCCCCTGGTCTCCCGGACCTTTCTCCTCCACCTGGGGACCAGAACAAGCCTCAGGGCCCTCTTTTTTACCAAAATCAAAGCTCCCACTTGATTTTTTATTCCCTTTTTGCTTATTTCGGTGCAAAACTGGGGACGGCTCGTAGGCCTGGTCAGAGTCGGTGTTGTCAGAGTCCTCAGCCTCGGTGACAGTGATGACGATGCTGATGCCGGTGCCTGCATTTGCTTCTAATGTTACCTGATGACTGGAGCAGCCCTGCACGCTCGCTGCATCCTCTTTAAATGCCGACTGACTGACATCCATTACAGTCTCTTCGGTTTTGCACTCCTCGGGAAGATTTATGGTCTCCTCTGGTTGATCCCCTTCAGGCAGCTCTTTGCTGATATTGGGGATTTCCTGCAGCTCAGTGGTTTCAGGGGTGCTGTCAGGTTGTTCCTTGAAAACGGGTGCTTCAGGAGCAACTTCCCCGCCTTCCGCATGGACTGTGGTTTGGGGTAGGCTCCCCTCCTGCAGTTTTTCCTGGGCTGTTTCATTAACTGTCTCTGAGTCGGTTATCTCTGACTGAGCAGCGCACTCCATGTGTTCCTCTGCATCAGGTGTGGGCTCTGCCAAGGGCTCACTCTTCCCAGCAGAGTCAGCACTTTCTTTTGCTGTATCCTGGTCCTCCTCCGCGGAAATCGGGCTGAAGGATTCAGACTTGTCTGTTGGGGCCAAATCCTCCAGCTCTTCACTAGCTTTATTTAAAATGCCCATCACTTCGTTTGCTTGAACACTGCCCTCTGACTCCTCCACTGCTTCAGAGGGGCTGGGTTTTTTCTTGCCTCTGGAGAAGCGCACACAGGGCATCTTCACCCCAGAGCTTGCCCGTTTCTTTGGGAAGCCTTGAGCACAGCCCTCCTCAGCATCCACCTCCAGCTGCACTTGGGAATCGGAGGCCACCTTCTTCCACGAGGAAGATTTCTGCCTTCTCCGAGGTCTTGCAAGGTTTTTGATGGCTGCCCAGGCTCCTTTGGAGGACTGTGGCTGATTTGAAACTTTTGCCTCCCCTTGGTCAGCGCTGACGCATTGACTTTTCTCCTCCGAGGCTCCTTCACACACATCCTTCGTGGTCAGCCCCTTCTTGCAGGGCTTCTTCCGCGTCTTAAAACAGAGCATGGAGGGCTTTTCGGCCTGTTCCTCCGACGGGGAGCATGTTGCCCCTGTGCTGTGAGTCTCTACCTCTTTTGAGTTCTCCATTTGAATTTCCTTAGCTGCCTTCACCACATTCACTCCTCTCCTTTGTTTGTGTTGTATTACCAGTTTTCTTGATCAGACACAAAAACTGCAGCGATGCTCAAAGCACATTTTTTCCCTCAAATTGTTTTTCAAAATAACATTAGTTGCTCTTTAATGAGCGGATGTGGCAGTGAAGTTCTGCTGAAGCTATCGCATCCGCTTTATAACTCCCACTTTGTCTGATTACTCACTTTATCACCTCTCCAAGGAATCCCGGGTAGTCGTGAAGTTATACAGGCTTCTCCTTGGCTTTGCTGGCCAGAGTCACTCTCACCTCTGGGACAACCCACTTCAAGTTGCGCTCAGTCTAACAGCACGACTAATTGCCAGTCTGACATTACCTTTTTTTTTTTTTTTTTCCCCAAAAGGATGACAAATCAAGCCAAGAGTTAATAATTTTTATTCACCCCATGGACCTGGAAAGAACTTGCACTTTCTGAGCTATCTGCAATTCCACATTGCACAGGGAGCTTGATTGGAGCACCGGTAAAACCAGCAGCAGCCAGTGGCTGTTCTCTGCCCCCCAGTGACAAGGTCAGATGCTGCTTTGTCTCAGCTTTGCTTTCTGCTTCAGTTATTCCTCGCAGGTTATGTGAGGTCTGCTGCGAAGCGTGGACGATGCTTCCATCTTTTATCTGTAACACAACAAAAAAATGATAAGACCTGTAGAGAAATAGGGGGTGTGGTGTGGTGTTTTCTAAGTATTAAAAAGTTTTTTTAAAAAATACATTTAATTTTGGGAGGCAGACCAGGGCTGGAAAAGCAGTTCTGCCTCTGGATGCACCATAGCAGTTTTTTCCACTAATTAGCATCAATATCCAAAAGCAAAATAAGGCCACCAAGATGTCGCTCCAGTGATGTTCTGCCACAGAAAATACTGGTTTTGCTATTTTGTGTGTTAAAAGGGGACTTTTTTTTTTAACTGCCCATATTATGGCATATATATATTACGCATGTACACGCATATATTTTCTTCTCCTACGGTTAGCTAAATCTTTTCCCCACTGCTCCATATGCACTCATAGTTCCAGCTAGGGAAATTACACCCTGAGACAGCAGATATTTTTATCTTTAATGCACCATATGACAGTATGCAAAAACACAGAATACAAAAAGAAGGCTTGTGGAATACAAAAGCGAAATCACATGGCAAGAAGGGAGCTTATTTATACTACGTGCATGCCTTCCATGGCAACCCCAATTAACACCGCGTGTGTTCATCAAATATATGATATTGCAAGATATATGTCACCCTTCGGCAAAAAAAAAAAAAAAAAAAATAAA